TCCCTTGCTTTTTTTTGTGTGTGTCCCCCTTGTTTTAAATACTAATCACCAGTCTGTGTTCAGCTAGACTCAGAACTCCAGTCAGAATTTTTTTCCATTTGAAAAATCAATGTTTTTGAGGTGTAAGTCTAACAGGTCTTATTTAACATGTTGATGCCTAGTAGACATTTGGAAATTGTTGATCAGATGTAACAAAGAATGCACAGTCAGCAAAGAATAAACTAGATAGACAATTGGGACCTAAAAATTAAATCCCTATGTGCTTCACCAGACTTCTCCAAAAGAGTGGAAAGAGACCTACAAAATAGGAAAAAAATATTTGGTGATACCTGATCTGAGAAGGGACCCATCCCTACAATTTATCATAAGCTCCAGTACAAAAGCAAGAAAAAGATCATCTAATTACAAAATGGGCAGAGGACATGAAAAGACACTTCACCAAAGAAGACATTCTTTGGCTAACGCACAAAACATGGTCATAATCATTACCTTCTAACTTCTGAAGCTTTGTCTGACATACTTTGGATGTGTTGCAAAGAGGGATCAGTCCTTGGAGAGGGACATCATGCTTGGGAGGGTGAAGGGACAGTGCAGGAGAGGAAGACCCTCTCTGAGGTGGATTGATTCAGTGACTAGGGCCCATGGGAGTAGGTGTGTCAGAGACAATGAGATTGCCACAGGACAGAGCAGAATTTAGGGCTGTTGAATATAGGGTCACCATGAGACACAGGCGACTCAACAGCACGTAACAACATAAGTTCATCAATGTAAGTTCATCCATCATTGATTGTGCCTACCAAGTTGATGTGTTGATGTTTAGCAACTGAGTCATTCTGTAGTTGGACTCTTAAGTATTGTAACAAAAAAAAAAGGGGGGGGGGCTCCAGTGCACTTTTTAAATTTACATGATTCTTCCTATTAAGTAAGAATAGCAAAACAGAAGTCCACGTTTTTCTATGCAAGCAAAGAGGGGTTTATAGGAGAAAATACAAAAAGACAGAGACAAGGCGGTGCTAACTCATGATGAAGGCTGTATATGCTGGGATAGTATATCCTGTTTCTTCAAGGAAAGGAAAAGATTGTCATGTTTATTCATAAAAAGAGGAGGAGAAAACATCTAGGATTGGCTCACATGAAAGGGATTAGGATAATCATTTGTGCAGTTGTTCTTTCAAGATGGCTTCTGCCAACAGTTCTTCCTGGGCTTTGTAGAGAGCATGTGCAGATGATCAAGATGTTGGGAGTATGCTTCATTCAGCAGCATCACGTTGCTTTATGTGAGTTGCTTTAAAAATAGCTGTCTTCAGGTGAGATGCTTGTTCATCATGGAACATGTCCTATAAAATGGCTGTTCTCTAGAAGGTTGTACTGGTGTGACACCTGAAATCTGTTAAGAGTTATAGGAGGGAACACACCTGGAGGTGCCTGTTGAGTGACGTGGAGTTGAAACTGACTCATAGCTGACCCTCCAGCAGGTTTTCAGAGGCATCTTAATCACATTGGAGATTGTTCATCCTCCCACAGAGCACCGGGAGGATTCAGACCCTGTGCTGCCTTAACCGCTGTGCCACCAGAGCTCCCTTGGAGCTCCTCATTTAGGGTGCATTCTTGGGTCTTGCAATGCCTCCATTAGCTGAATGCTGGCTTTTCTGACAGGAACCTTTTTCAAGGGAAAATACTTTCAGATGGAAAAATAATTCTGATTCAGTTAAAGTTTAAGTTAAAACTTTCCTTTTCATTCCACAGAAAGGTCATCTTTGATACAAGGTCAGAAGTGATGCTTAGCGAGATTGTGGTATCGAGGCAAACTACCACGGTTAAAAGGATTTAAACAACATAAGGAAGCTTCGTTCCTCAAAACTGTCCTAGAACAAAAGGACATTTCTTCTTAAAATAGTATTAAAGAAATGTTAACACTTTTTCATTGCTTTCTTGTCTGTTGCAGTTTCTTCCTGCTGCCTTTCCAAACCTTCCTTCCCCCTCGCCTTGTTGTATTTAGCAAGTAAAGACAAACCAAAACCTTGACTTAGGATTCTCAGATTTTAAAAGGTACAAACATGCAACTGGTTTGAGCCAAGTACAAGAAAGATTATACAGAAGATCTCCCCCCACCCACCCCCCGAATGCTCTTAAAATACATTTTTGGAGAAACAGCAAGACCAGCTCACAGACTGACGCCAGAACAGCACTTCCTCTGAGAAGCCACTGCTTCCCTGGATTCCCGGTCAAGATTCAGGGACCCAGCCAAGAGGTTAAGAATTGTATCCTTTTTAAAAAAAATTTTTTTTTTTTAGAATTGTATCTTAAAATACAATTCTCTACAGGAGGAGTTGGGGGATGGAGATTGGGAAGCAGCTTATATGCTTCTTGGGGGGTGAGGCTCTTAGAAGAGGGTTAAGTTGCACAGGTGTAAACATTTGTCAAAAGCTGTGCTGAAGATTTGTACGATTCACTGTTAATGTCACACTGCCAGGTGAGTCTAGTTCTGATTTCTACTGACCCTTCTTCAGGTTTCTAAGGCTGTCATTAACAAGACAAAATGGCCCATCTTTATATTCTCACACACATTTTAAGTACAGAAACAAGGATTTTTGCACATGTAGTCACAGGTACACTTGCGCTTGCTTTATTGTGCTACAGAATTGAAGATTTGTGGCCACTCTTAGAGTAGGCTGTTGGTGCAGTTTTTCCAACAGCATGTGCTCACTTTTTACTAACTCTTGGTATGTTTAAAATTCTATTACTGCATTCTTAATTGACTAATGTATTCGAGAATTTTTATTTATGCACTGCGAAACCAAAATATTCTCATGACTTATTTATGGTCTGGAATGGAACCCTCAGTATCTTTTTTCCCTGTATTTACACTTTTTACAAATTCTGATTTTTTTTCCACCCTGCAATCCCAGAGGCACGCAGTTCAAATCCACGAGATGCTTTGCTGGAGAAGGAGGGACAATCTCTTCCTATACCAGTCAGATCCAATTTGATGGTACACACACCAAAAAAAGTTAAAAAAAAACAAACAAACAATTCCAATTTTTCTATTTTATGACACATCTATTTGCAGAGACAAGATTAAGAACCTGAATCCATCTAAGGTGTTTTCTTTTGGGAAATTTGCAAGCATTCACACTTCCATTGCCTGGTGACTGACTGCATACATACTCAGAAGCTGTGTGGCTTTTCCGGTAGTCAATCTGAGCTCAATGGAAAGAGTAGCAGGGGACTGAGGAAAGGCAGGCTCCAGTCCTCCTAACCTGATCCAGAGCATGACCCACATCTTCCTTGGGGAAAGACCTCTCCCTGTTTTTACCTCCAACCTCACCTCCCAGGAGAAATCATTTTAATTCAAACCAGTTTACTCTCCTTTGTGGAGGAGCTCATTAGAAAGAACCAGGACTCTTACAGCCTCTGAAAAGATAGTAGTGGTAGCCACAACTTAAACCACTGAATCTACCAGTAGGGCCACTGTGCTCCACCTCTATAATCAGAATGTGTTGCTTGGGCTCCCAGAAGGGGAGGTGTGCAGGGATTTCTTGGTGAATCCATTTTATTTGAACATTTGGAAAAAGTTGGAGAAGGAATTATTTTTACATTGAGAGAAACAGTGGAAAACCCTTATGATTTTTCATTGGAAAAGGTTTTGAAAAAATTTTGCTGGGCCTTTAGAAACCATATTCTTAGGCTCGCAAAGGTATGTTTTATTGATACCATTACAGAAATCTCGCTGAAAAGTTAGCTGGAAGATGAAGGCTGCAGCTGCTTCTGGGACAGAAGGACAATGAATAGGTATCAAGATTTATGCTGTATGCGGTTCAAATCCACCAGATGCTCTGCTGGAGAAGGAGAGGCAATCTTTTTTACCAGTCAAGTCCAATTTGACAGTACATGCACACACAAGCAATAAAATAATTATTAAAACAAGATTTATGCTGTATATACACTCCTGTGTAACAAAAAAGAAATACATGTACTTTCTGGGGGAGCGAAAGCCTGAATGCTGCTGGGTGACAGGTCTGTGTTTGGAACCGTGGGCAAGTCTTAAGGAATAAGCTAGGGTTTCTGGGGAAGGCAGTGTAGGAGCAGCAGAACCTTGGGGCTTTCTGGATTTGAAACCCTCAGCAACCCTTTCATCTAAATTAAGATTGTACCACTCTATCTTCAGAAGGTTCTCGGAGGATGGTAGGAGCTGCCGTACATGACACACCCAGTATATTTTGGGTCTTTTTAACTCTTCCAGTGCAGCTTAACAGGAAAACAAATGAACTTTGAAAGCAAATGAAACCCAGAACTTTTTAAACATAGGTGGAAGGAGAAAATAACAAAGCATCTTTAAGACTGCTGTGTTGTGATCCCAGAGGCATGTAGTTCGAATCCACTAGCTGCTCCTTGGGAGAAAGATGGCAGTTTCCTCTTGTGCAATTTATAGCCATTGAAAACCAGCTGAAGGGTCAGCTATGAATCAATTAACTGCTTGACTGCCCATAACAATGGCAGCAATAGGCAAGGGACAAGAGACCAACCAGACACCAGTAATTGGAGTTACTAGCACAAGAATGGATAGTGCTCTGGGAGCTGGACCCAGCAGCAAATACTCAGATCTTATGGTTAAGGACAGGAAATGCCCCTGCAACCTAGTATTTAAAGACAACTGCAAGCTGAGTAAGCATCTTGGTTATTTTTAGTGAAAGAAAAACAGCATTTCCATGGAGGACGAGTGAACTGAAGGTCAGAAAGAAGGTGGGTTGGGTGCTCAGCAGCTCAAGCTCCAAACCCCAGAGGTGGTCAGAGAAGGCCCTCAGCCTGGGGACTTGGAGCATTTGGTGCAGCAGAGGGATTCCGCTGGTGGGGTGGCTGGACTGACCAGCCTGCCCGTGATCAGGAGACTGGAATGAGTGGGTGGGTCATTGGGTGATTTCCACTTGCACTGGGTTGGCGTGATTACTTCGTCTTCTTGGGTGGCATTAAAGAATAACACAGGGACCCTAGAGAGAAGGTTATTCAGTTGGATTCTGAATCACAATCAGGAAATAGTCTTTATCTGTAAGAGAGAGAATTAAAAAGGATAAATCACTAAAAAGTGAGGAGAAAGTGCAATAAAAAAATAGATCACTAGGTCATTAAACATAAAAAATATAAAACAGATACACGAAAGCCTGAGAAGATTACCAGCAAACACCGTTAGCAAGGCAAGACAGCCTTCACAGTGAGAATCTGATGACATGCTAAATTTGTGCTTCTAGTCCCCAGAATGGAGACTAAATTTCTATTACAGTAAGCCAAAACAAAAATCACACAGTAGAAGGCATAACTGTTCAGGCTCCTAATTGCTAGGAAAAGAGATAAACTTGCAAGTTCTCTGTCAGGGTTACACAAGTGTGGCTTGCTGGAAAACTACTTGAAATAACTGCATCCTCTGGGCATATCCTATGTCTTGATTCTCCCAATACTCACCACCAAAAGTTCAACAGTTCACAGAGTTTAAATGAGTTGCCTGAGGTAGTAGGTTGGCCTCTTGCAGCTGCATGTGCATAGCCAAGTCAGTTTGGATTCACAGCACTGCTGACACAAGACACATGATGACCTACATCTGACAGGAGAACTGCCTCAGGGCTTTCTAGGCTGTAATCTTTTGCAGCAGACTACGAGATCTTTCCTGCCACAGAGGAGCTGGTGAGTTTGAGCTGCCCATCTTTTGGTTAGCAGCCAAAGACTTCAACCACAGCAACCAAGATCTACTGATGCTATACACAAGTTGATTAAACTCACTTGCAGGTGGTTAAACCAGTGTGGGGCTGTCTCTAGGTCTGAGGTGGGGCAATCGTAACAAGTTCTCAGGTGACGTGGAAGCTGCTGCTTACAGGAGAACCCTTAACCTAAACTCATTCTGGTAGTTAGTAGTAAAAGAGAAATTCCAACCTCAGTGCCACTGGCCTGACATGAGTGTCACTTTCTATCACAAGTTCTACTGGTCTTCTAGAACCTTCCAAACAAGAAAATTCCAAGAGCACTAGGTGGATTTCAGCTCTGAGGAATTCCAACCACAAGGTGAAATGTCCTTCATGAAACTAATTTTAAGCCAGAGTGGAGTTTCAGAGGTAAGTCTGCCCACTCGTTATTTAACAGCAAACACAGAGAAGCCAAAGTCTCCAATAGTGCCACCAAATCCTACATTGTTCCCTAAATCTTCAAACCATAAGGATTCTGAGGCAGGTGTGTTCTCATTTTACAAATGAGAAAACAGTGGGACTTAGAGCTTTCTAATTACGATGGTTTAATTTGATCAAGATGTTCTAAAGACCTCTGGTCTGTTTCCTACTAAAGAGCACAGAAAAGGGAAAACATCATGTCTGTCTGTGTCTGCTCAAATTTCAGACTAAAGTATGGTCATTCTCCTAATAAAAAGCTATTAAATCTGGGAATAAACAGACACAACTAGTACTAACAGTACATTTTACCCTCATTTATTAAGCTCTAGTTCAATGCTGGCACAGTAAACTGTCATAGGACATTGATCTCCCCCAATCCCCGTTTCTTTTTTTGGGGGGAGGGAATTCCAATTTGCTTGGACCCATAAATTTGACCCGCTGCTGATCTATTGGTTTGCCATTCTTTGGTGGCCTGTGTGTTGCTGTGATGCTGGAAGCTATGCCATTAATTGTTGCTGTTCTATGCCATCAAGTTAACTATGACTCATAGCTACCCTATGAATGGATATAAATCTTGCCCTGTTCTGTTATCCTCTTCATCTCATTCACCTGAGCCCACTGTTAAAGTCAACAAGAAGGTTCATCTCTCTTTTGCTGAACCCTTCTCCTTTCCAAACTTCGATGGCTTCCAACGACAGGCCCCTCCTAATAACATACCCAAAGTATATGAGATGAAATTTCATCATCCTTGGTTCCAAGACTAGTTTTTTTGCAGTCCACAGGAGACTCTGGCATCAATTAGTCTTCTTACTCACTGCAAATTTCAGTTTCATAGCAAGTGAATGAAAGACCATCATGGTTTGGATCAGGCACACTTTGGTCTTTGAACCGACATCCTTAAACTTTGGAGAGGTCCTTTAACAGCAAATTTTCCCAACACACCTTTTCATTTCTTGACTGCTGGTACCAAGGGTGTTGACTGTGGAGCAAGATGAAATTGTTGATCCCTTCAATCTTTTCTCCATCTACCATGTTAGTTCTTGGCCCAGTGGTAAGGATTTCTTTTTGAGGTTAAGATGTAACCCATAGTAAAAGCTGTAATCTTGGATTTTCTATAGCAAGCATTTTAAATCGCTCCTCAAATTATCCAGTGAGGCGAAACAGACTTAAATATAGCTGAATCTTCTTAGGCATAGTTGTAGCCTATAAAATAGCTGTGAACACTGAACTAGTGAATTTTGAACTATTACTCTTAATATCTTCTAGTCACATTTTCATCAATTTACCAAATAGTTTATTTAAATCTACCTTATTTATATGTGTTGGTGATTTCACTTACAGCAAACTCTTAGCCAAGCCACTTTAATTTCCTGACTGATGTTTATCAAACACCTATTTTTGTCCATAAGGTACACTACGACCAAGACTTAGGAATAAAAGATAATAGCACTATGCTTGGGATAAATTTCTCCCTTTTCTCGATTGATTTGAGGGAAAGTTTACAAGGCTAACCGGTTTCTCCTTTAACCATTGTACACAGTCTTTCTTTGCTATCCTTTCCTGCCTTCTGAGCTTCAACCTTAGGCAAATGCTGCCCTTGATGTTGAGACATAATTCATATTGAAGGCTGCAATTTTTTCTTCTTCTTAAGCTTTATTTTTTTAAAAATAATTTTAATGAGCATTTACAGAGATTTTGGATTTCCATTCATTCATTGCTGTACTTCTCTCCCCGCCCAGCCCTCCCCCCCTGCAATTTTTTTTTTAAATTTTATTATTTTGTGCGTGTACTGTCAAATTGGATCTGATTGAACCACATACCTCTGGGACTGCAGTGCAGCTTCTTGCCACTAGGCTACGAAGGCTGCAATTTTTGATCTTCAGCAGTAAGCATAACAGATGGAGAAAAGATTGACCTTGTCAACTATTTCATCTTGCTTGGCTGCAGTCAACACCCTTGGCCAAGCAGTCAGGAAATCAAAAGATGTAATGTATTAGGAAACTCTGCTTTCAAAGACCTTTCCAAGGTCTTCAGGAGCAACGATGTCAGTTTAAAGACTAAAGTGCACCTGATTCAAGTCATGGTCTTTTTTTTTTGGACAATGACCAAGGAGGATAGAAGGAGAATTTGATGCCTTTGAGCTGTGGTGCTGGAGAAGAGTATTGAGAATACCATGGACTGCTAGGAAAACAAATAGATTTGTCCTGGAGAGAGTTAAACTGGGTGGCTCCTTGGAGGCAAGGATTCTGAGGCTCTGTCTAACTTACTTTAGACATGTAGTGAGGAGAGACCGGTCCTTAGAGAGGGACATCATGCTTGGGAGGGTGGAGGGACGGCACAGGAGAGGAAGGCCCTCTATGAGGTGGATTGATTCAGTGACTGGGATAATTGGGATGGGAGTGTCAGAGACAGTGCGATTGGCACAGGACAGAGCAGAGTTTAGGGCTGTTGTACATAGGGTCGCTATGAGTCGCAGGCGACTCGACGGCACATAACCACAACAACAATTTTTAAAAATTTTTATTTTATTATTTTTGTGTGAGTGTACCATCAAATCAGATCTGACTGGTACAGGAGGAGATTGTCCCTCCTTCCCCGGCAGAGCATCTGGTGGATTCGAACCGTGCGCTTCTGGGATTGTAGTTGCAGCTCCTTACCACTAGGCCACCAGAGTTCCCCTCGTGGTCTTTTCAAGTACTTCCTATGCATCTGAATTGAACAGAGACTAAGGATGACATTAGAGTAACTGAGGCATTGGCAGCATATATACTAAAATTAGAATGATCAAGGCTTTTGAGTTGGAGAAGAGTACTGAATATCCCATGGGCTTCCAAAAAAATAAACATCTGTGTCTTGGAGAAGGTGCAGCCAAGGTGTTCCTTAGACGTTTCATGTTAAATATTTTGAGCATGAGAGGAGGTACTAGTCCTTGGAAAAGGACATCATGCTTGAAAAGGGGAAGGTCAGTGAAGGAGAAGATGACCTTCAACAAGAGGGATCAGTCAATACAGTGACTGAAGCAGTGCACTCAAGTTTATGAGGAATGATGAGGATGGCACAGCATAGGACGGGGTTCAGATCTGGCTTACTCTGAGTTGCGGTCAACTTGACGGCACCTAACGACAGAATGCAGAACACTGGTGATGATGATGCTCACAGTGGCTGTGGTCATTAGACCTGAGCCCAGCCAACTCATTCCCTTAGGGTATTTTGCTATGGTTAAGTTTTTGTGACTCTGCTCCACTGACTGTTAGATACATGGATTTAACATTTTGACCTAGTGGTATAGAAGGCCCACTAAGCTTAGTTTATGTAATTTTGCCACCGGCTCTTAAATACATTTATAACATACTAGCCTAGGGGTAAGGAGCTGCACTGCCAATCAAATCCACACACAAAGCTGCACACATTTCAAATCCACTAGATGTGGTGCCAGAGATAGTGGGAAGTTTCCTCCTGTGTGATCTGCTTCTGAAAACAGGCTGGAGGGTCAGCTATGAGTTATATCAGACTAGGCAGTACAGAATGTACATACAGAGCAGTCTGTCAAACCGACCTATGTCCACATGAGTGTGGTCCCTCTCTCCTGCCCTTACGGTTCCTCTGCCCATCTGTTTACAAAACCACTTATAAATTAATATTTAATATTGTGAATAATGCAGGATTATGTATGTAACAGTGTTTACTTTTGTTGACTAGCTGGCTTTTTTTTTTTCCCTAGCTGGCTTTCTTATACACCACTGTGCCTCTTTCTTTAATGATGCTATGTTGATGATCTAATTATACTACTTTGACCTTCACCCATCTTAATATAATTTATGTATTCACTGATTTTTTTCATCTCCACTCTCTTCTCACTTGTAACCATCAAAGAATGTTTTCTGCATGCTATATAGGTTCATTTTAAAAAGCATAATTACCAACAAAAATGCACAAAACCATGGTATTTGAGTAGACCTTGAAAAATTATCCTTGTTCACAGTCTGAAAATTAAAGTGTTACTGCCTAGTTTGTCTCTGCTTGGAGCTCGTATTTTTCACTGCTCTCAGCAGGAAGGAATATGAAAACTCTTTATTATTGAGAGCTGTAAATACATTTTGGATGTTAGCCAACTTCACAAATGCTGAATCTGCAAATGAAAATCAACTGTCAAAGAGAATTCCAAATCATGACTATAGAAAGAACAGGCTGCTAGTAGAAGTATGAAGAGTGTAGCCCTACCTAATACAGACTGGAAACCCCTGAAGGAAGTGGCAAACTGGTGAGCCCAGTGAAAGGAAGAGACGGAAACATGTGGGGCCCTCAGTGGAGAGGCAGCAGTAGGGTTGGAACACAGTGCTGAGCGTAGTCAGAAAAAATACACATTTCTCATATGAAGCAACTTTAAATTATCATCCACCTCCCTTCAAATAAAGATAAAAGGGGAGTGTGGCAGCGAGGTAAAAGCAGGCACTTTCCATTGCCCAGGTAAAGGTCTGGCCACGTTGCTCTTGCCTTGCTAACAAGGCTTTGGGGCCTCTGGGTGTTGTGAAGCTTTAAGAGTCTGACTCCAGAGTTTCTGACCTCCTGGACGAGCACATCAGCTATATTCATGGGCTTTGCATGTTCTGAAGGTCCTCAAGGCCAAGTAAGGAAATCTCTGCTGCTAAATTGATAAATAAATGGCCAAGAGCACTAACATTATTCTGCTGTTTCAAAGACGCTTTAAGCCAAGATACTTTGTCCACATACATTGACAGATATTATACAATCTACTTTCCCCCCCTCAGGTTGTACAGTGCCACATCGGATCCAACTGGCACAGGAAGAAACTGCCCCTCCTCCAGCAGAGAATCTGGTGGATTCAAACCATGCACCTTCAGAGATTGCAACACAGATTCTTGCCACTAGGCCATCAGAGCTCTATATAATTTATTCTTGTTACACATCTGAATTCCTGTGTAGACCATCAGGAACCATAAGAGGCTAAACTGTTCCCAGCCTGCTTTGTAGAGGACTGGAAATTTGTCCACAGAGACTGGAAATTTAAGACACTCTGGTCCTCTATGGCCCAAGCTGACTGGGAACAAAGCCCACAGTGCTTTGTTGCTGGGAGTGCCTAAGCATCCATTCTGCTCCTTCAAATTGATATCAGAACTCTGTAATCAGCCTCCTCAGCAGATATGTTGCAAAAAGCAGGGGCATCCATGTTGCGGTACCCCCACTGTCCTCTTTCATCTAGCCCATAAACTCAATTCCATCACTTTCTGCCCTGAAAATTTCTGCCAAGACTAAGACCTGAGTATGGTATTTGAGGTACACACCCCTTTTTCTAAAGTGGACTAGTGTTACCTCCTACTCCTTCCTATACATATTCTGATGCCCCAGACAAGCTGTGTCATCATGTTGAATCACCAGCAAACTTTACATACGCAAATGCAACAGGACAGCTCAGCCAAAAGAGGAAAAGTAAGAGAAGGAACCATGCAAACACCAGTCCTGAAGATCTGGTGTGAGTGCTGAGGCAGGTGGGACAGGAGCCCCTGCTGTTCCCTTTTGTGGTCCCATTCCTATAGAATAGCATCTCATCACCCTGGGAGTAAACCTAAGGAAATTGTTTTTACTACAGAACTCCCAAATGTAAGCTGGGAACGTCAAGTAAAGCAGTACCAACAATTAGTTCCAAACCTGAAGGAAAATCTTCCTGTATCAGCTTAGAGAAAAGAACTGTACTTCATAAATTAACACATGAAAAATTTTCAAAGGCTAAAATGACTTGGTAATGTTTTTTTAGGTAATGTTTTTGCCTTGCACAGTGGTTTAGAACCAATGGTTTTTCTTTATCCAAATAGTTTTCTGACCCCCCTCTGCCGTGCTAACACTTGTTTTCCTGGGCCTTCAAGACACAGTTTATGTCATCTTTCCTGAGGAGCTTTTGCTGGTGGCCTCAAGCAGCACTATAACTGATAAGCTACAAAGACTTTGCTCTAAATTTCATCCCCTAAATGGAGACATGAAGACTTATTACCTGGTGCAACCATAATTTCATTTTTCTTGGAGCGAATTCGAAGGAAGGTAAGGTCATTTTGGGGGTCGATTTCTCGCACCGTGCTCCGTGCCTTCAGGATGAAGTTGTGCATGAGATTGGCGTACTGTGTGGTCGTGGAATTGTCCATGGTGCTTTTGATGGGAATGCCTGAGGAGACACCAAACAGACCAGGAAGGAGTATTTCTATCCCTTTCTGTTAAGGTGCTAACCCTTTTTAATCCCAATTCTCTAGTATCAGACTGCAGTGATGAGAAGTAACATTGACTGAGGCATGTGACAGGCATAGTGCTAAGTGTTACATGTCTGCATCAATCCCCTGAATTACATCACTATCATCATTACCTGTTCAGGCAGTGGAAGCAGAGTACTGAGGTGACCTACCAAAGGCCACAAAACAGAGCAGCAGAGTGGCCAGGATTTGAAGACATGTTTAAATACCTTCATGTTCACCGTATACAGAAATAAAAGATTATAATTTATAACTTGCAACCTAAGCCAAGAGGACACAGCTCTTACAAATCTCTTAAGTACTGAAAGACAAGAATAAAAGTGGCAAGAGTAGAATCTTAAATGAGGATTACATCTCAACAGCAAGAAAACAAAAATCCTCACCACTGGACTAATATGCAACATTATGATAGATGGAATAAAGAACTGAAGTTCCCAGAGATTTCATTTTACTTGGATTTACAATGAACACCCATTGAAAAAGCAGTCAAGTAACCAAAAGATGTGCTGCTCTAGGCAAAGCTGTTGTCAAAGACCTTTCCAAAGTGCCAAAGATCAAGGATATGACCATTGAGATTAAGATGAGAGTGATCCAGGGAATGATTTTTTCAATTACATTCTATACATCTGGAAGTTGGATAGTGAATAAGATGACAGAAGAAGAAATGAAAATGGTGTTGGAGAAGAGTACTAAATATCCCACAGACTCCCAAGAGAACAAATAAGTTTGTCTTAGAGGAAGAATAGCCAGGATGCTCCTTAAAAGCAAGAATGGTAAAACGTCTATCACATCCTTTGGACATGTTGTCAGAGGGGTCCATCCTTCAAAAAAGACATCAGGCTGGGAAAGGTCAACAAAAGAGAGCAAGACCCTCAACAAGATGGGCTCACACAATGACTGCAACAATGAACTTGAGTGTGGTGAGACTGAGGATGGCACAGGACAGAGAAAGATTTCAATCTGTTCTTCCTAGGGACACTAAGAGTTAGTTAATGGCTCCTAACAACATGTCCCAAGTATCATTAATAGTATTTTGCTCCAATTCCCACCCAAGGAAATCTAAAGGCTCAGTGTAAGTGCATCCATACACATGATCATGCTGGCCAAATATATGTTTCTATCTGTAGGAGCTCTATGTAAATAGTCTCATTTTGGCTTCAGAGTTCCCAGAAAATGAACATTCCACAGAATTACACATCTTCCTTATTTTTTAGTAGTGTAATGCAAATTAATATTATGCATCAAACTTCTACTTTGTGGATTCTTTTTCTGAGATGACCTGGTAAATAAACTAACTTCCCTGTGTGGATGGTGCCTCCTGTTATAGAGGTAAGGAATGTGGTACAACTTGAGTTACTTCTCACAATTGGGTTATCAAGTGCCTGTGAATTAGCCATGACACATCAGGATGGTCAATCCATGAGGTCCTAAGACCCATTCACTTGTGAAGAATGTGGCACACAAAGCTCCTTGCATATAAATGGCCTGGTTTTAAGCACAAGACCTTCCTAATCTGACCCACAGTTAGTCATCCTACTTACTGACCAGTAATTCTCAGACCTACCCAATGGGTGCCAAGAAACTTGCCCAACCTTTTTAGGGCACCAGGAATACAAAATGAACAAAACTGGTGGTAGAAGCAGCTAAGTCAGGCAGGTTTTTTGAGCCACACTATGGCAGTCTCACTAGCCACTCATCTTTAACATAACATCGTAACGTAACATCAAGGCTGCTGAGACCTGGGTGGCAACAATATGCACGCCAGGGCCCCATGGGCTTCATGCTACAGCTATGCCTTCCTCAGAATGTCAGTATGACTAATGTGTCCCTTTTACTCTCTCCACACCTGGGTTGATGTTTAAAGAGTAGGAGCTCTGAAATATGACCACTAGGTTTATACCTCAGCTCTATCTGTAAAGGCTTTGTGGCCTTAGGAAAATGATTTATTAAAAAGCTTCAATCTTCTCATTTCCCAATCTGTAAACAAGGCTTTGAAGTACTGCTGTATACTGATGTGGCTCAACTTACAGCAACTCCAGGAACAACGGACTAAAATGTTGCCTTATCCTATGCCATTTCTGTGACTGGTCATAGACAGGACAATGTGATTGATAGGTTTTCATGAACTGTTTTTCCATAAGGCAACCAGCAGACCTTCAAGCCTGTCTTATTTAGTCTGCCAAGCTCTACTGAAACTCATTCAGCATAATCGCAAGACACAAACCTCCACTCACAGACCAAGACCCTGGTCTCCTCCATGAAACATGAGGATTCTACCACTGCTTGCAATGTGTTAAATATTCTTAATAAAAATTTATCAACATCACTGACAATAAAAACTGTTTCCCAGATAACCTGAGGGGGACATTCTTGCACCTAAAACAGCCTTGCTAACACAGGGCCCATCTACTGGGAGCAAGGACAAGTGCCCACATGGTCCTGCTCTTTGGCAGGGACTCTCTTCTGGGTTCTGACGGTAAGAGACTTAACTGGTCACAAGGCTTAGGCCAACAAACACCTTGTCCTTTTATACACAAGGCTGTCTTCTTTCATCTTCCCCTTCTCTTTTACAACTCCCACTGATTTCTCAGGTCTCCACCTTCTGATGTCTCCCACCAGGCCTGGATGCAGCCAGCACCCTGCTATCGTTCAGTGCAGTAAGCAGCTACAACCTCAAAACTTTAGGAAAGTGGTCACCATTTATAAGCTCCGTGAGAGCCAGAATCTACAGTTTTGCTCACCAGAGTCTTTGGTGACCACAATAAACTATTAATACATGATTGTTTAATAGGGTTACTTTCAGTAACTTACACAAATGCTGGCAGGAGTTTAATCACATTTCTACCAAGTGGAAAGGTTATGTCAAGGAGGCAAAACAATATTTGTTGAACCCCTCTAAAATCAGGGTGAGAAGAGTGCAAAGCTGGGGAGAATGTCAAACAAGAATAAGAGATCAATTGCAATCTGCCACATGAAGACAGCAGCAAAAGGAACCCAGGGGACTGGAGAGGTATAAATAGAATCAAATGTTCCTTAACTTCCTCAAAGTCACACGTTTATTATGACACAGTGGTTGAATTTCACTAGCTGAATTTGTTCAAGGCAGAGGTGTTAGATGAAGAACAGCTGATTCGGGCATATCAGGATTTCAAAGGCAGAAGCAATCACACCCAGAGCTAAAATGGTTGTCTGGGTGGCATCCTGAAGAATATGTCACAGGGTGAGAAAACCCTAGATGAAGTAAGAGATTCCTAATACAAGAACAATTACAGCTTCTCTAGGAGCCCTGGGGCCCAACTGTTAATGACTGAAAAATGGGCAAACATCCCTGCTTTGTTAGGATTACTATGTGAAATGTAGACAAGACACCAAGGTATAAGCTCTGTGAATAGGTTACAAATAGAATGTATATAAAACACAAAAACAGAATTCCATCTTACTGGCATTTACTATCTACTCCAGGCATTGCTCCAAAAGCTTCCCTCTGTAGAAATGCAGTATTAGCTAACTTTGACAAATGAGGACAATAGAACAATGGTTAAGTGACGTACTTAAGGTTACACAACTGTTAAGCGGCAGAGCCAGGTGGTCTGGTGTTGCAATCTGTATTTTCACCATAACAGGTAACCAACTGGGCTAGATTTCTTAATGAAAGCTTGACTTTATAGGCAATTTTTAAGGCAAGTACTGGTGGAAGTCTAGGGGGTCCAAATGGGGCTGCCAGTCCTGGTGATACTTTCCTCTCATTTGAGATCTAAATTTTAACTCTAAGAAACCCTCTCAGTGGCAGTTTTTCAAGTCTTAGAGCAAAGAGATCCTCTGGTCCAACCACTCAGGGTGGTTGAAACCTGTAGAGTATCTCAAACACAGGCCAGCCAGTGATTACAGTCAGACCCGAGCAGAGAGCCTGAACTCGCCTTCCACTGTGTCTTACGGGGTTCACTTCTCTCCTCCCTTATAAGTAGGGGTCACCAGCATACTGATAGGATAGCTGTGGGCTCACCTGGGCATGAGTTGCTGTAATAACAAAGGTCTCACTTCCTAAAAACAACTGAGGCTGAATCAGTCTTTCACATTTAAGGCAAGAGCAAGAGCTAAGGCAAGATTTAATAGAGTTAGTAAGCGTGATGGGGCACTTGATAAACAGGATTCCTGAACCTCGAATCCTCTTTATGTTCTATCATGTCACAGTTGCCAAGACAGAGGCCAAGGTGATTCCAGTGAATGTGGGACATCCTGTGGCCTAAAGGACATGAACCATGTGAGATCTCCACAACCCCACAAGGAAACATAATGCTCAGAAATAATGAAGACAAAAAACATCAGGGAGCTCTGGTGGCCTAGTGGCAAGAAGCTGCACTGCAATCCCAGGGGTACATAGTTCAAATTCACCAGATGCTCTGCTGGAGAAACGGGCAATCTCTTTCTGTACCTATCAGATCCAATTTGATGGTACACAGACAAAAAATAATAGCAATGGAAAATTCTTTTTAAAAATTATTAAAAAGGAAAAGAATGAAGACAGTAAAAACTAACAGGAGCAGCCACTAATCCTTCCTGAAGACTTCCATTATATTAGATCCTGTGCAGAATGTTTTATGTTGTTGATTTCGAGTTACTTTTTACAACTCTCTGGTGGCTCAGCAGTAAGGAACTGCACTACTAACCATAAGCAGTTCAAATCCCCCAGCTGCTCAGCAAGGGAAACAGGACAATCTCCTGTGGGATTTACTGCCTCTGAAAATTTGTCAGAAGGTCAGCTATGAGTCAGATTCCAACTCACAGTACTCAAGCACAACAAAGGCAGATTTAACTATTACTCACACAGACTTAAGTGACTTATTTAAGGTCACATGGCTAGTTAGGCATGGAGTCAGGATTTAACTTGAGGACTGCTGAATTCCAAGGCCCTTGTTTGTTAACTGCGACCTAGAATGCCAGGGCCTGGGGCCAAATTAACAGCACACTATGTGAGAAATAGCACAAATGTACACCCAGACAGACTTGAAATTAAATCTTGGTTTAGGAGATTCAGGTGGATTAATCAAATTTCTGGGTTCATTTTTCTCTCTATTGCAAAATGCAAACAAGAGTTCTTCAAAGATTGAACAAGATGTTTGTAAGCACATGGCCTAGCACATAACAAATTAAGGGTGTGATAGATGTTCAATTCCTTCTACATGATGTCTAGTGCCAATTGGGAATATCTGTTCTTACATAAACTCGGTCATTCCTGTTGAGTCAGAACCAACTCACAGTGGACCCACCAGTGGGTTCTTAAGAGGCTGTAAATAATTTTCCTCCCTTGGAACATCTGGTGGATTTGTGAGCCTGCCTCTGGATGGTAATGCAACTCCATATCAACCAGGCCATCAGCGCTCTCCTTATGCTACCATAAGTAATTAAAATAACTTCTCAAAAGAGGGCAGACAGACACAGGTAGTCAACAAAGAACTTGACTGTGGTGTTATTTAGCATAACAGTAGAAATAACTTACATGAGGAGTTGTAAGTAAATACACACACAATATTGATATTTAAGAAAATGTGCGTATGTACATTGTATTTTTGTAAAAGGCTAAAATCGGGAGAACCACTTGGCCAATTGACTGGAAGAAATCTATATTTGTTCCCATTCCAAAGAAAGGTGACCCAACAGAGTGTGGAAACTATAGAACAATCTCATTGATTTCACATGCAAGCAAGATTCTACTGAAG